TTAGTGATTAATTCATTATCTCTTTTCTTTTCTTACACTTTTTCTTTGTCTGCTAGTTACTACTCTTACATAATCTCTATATAATACAGTATTCAGTGACTAGGTTCAGCAGCTTCTATCTTTTGTGATTCTGTCTCATGTATTATACTGTCTCTCTTTGCCTGCTTAGATCACTACAGTGAACAGTTTATTAAAACTAACCTCATCTGACCTCTGAGCATTCTCAGAAGTTGAGATGACCTGGTCTCACATGTCTGCAGATATTTCAGATAGTTTGTCCTCTGTGATCTCTGTGATTGAACTAGTGTAAACAGTTGAATTCAACTCTGAATTTCTTTTTCTTCTGCAATCTGACTCATGTGCAAGTCTGTCACTTTGAGACTGCTCTTTACTGTGTTGTGTTCACTGTCTGCAGTGTGTTATTGTATGACTGGCTACAGTTTCATCACTTATTGAAGTGTGATGTTTATCTGATTTCTTCATTTCTTCTCATTCTTTTCTTATAATCATGAAAAGATCAGAATAAGTGAGATTATCTGATTTGTAAGTATCTATGATTTCTCTTACTTTGTAAGACTTTTCAATTGTAAGTCTCTTCTTTTTCAATACTGATGATAGTGCTATAAATAATCATAATTCACTCAGGTCTTATATCTTTGCTTTTATAAGTTGTGAATCATTGATTAAGTTGCATAAGATCTGTCTCTCTGGTTCTTTCAATGTGTACATTTCCAGAGAATGTGATTTGAGTATTTTATATGACTCAAACCATCTAGGTTGAAACTTCTCAGAATTCTCATTGTGTATGAGAACTTATGTTCTCATCTTGAGACTCAATTCCTTAATAAGTGAGTCTTGTATTCTTTTTGATTGAATTGCTTGATTCAGGAGTAACTTGTTAGCTTTTGTGTGTGTGTGACTGATCTCTTTCAATCTTGATTCTGTGTCTGTAACTGTTATATCTGTGACTGCTGTGTCTGTAACTGCTGTTTTCTTCTCCACCTTTTTCAAAGCATTCTTCAGGATGCGCGGATGCAATTTATACAACAGGTAGAATGATGAACACTTGATGACTGCATGCTGCCGGATTTGTGTGACTAATAGCACCTGTCTGAGATATTCATTCCATAATCTTGTAGGCTTGCTCACTAGATATTTCATCAGCATGTTGCTCAAGATTCCATTCAAGTGTTTCATCTTCTCATTCATCTGTGAGTGATATGATATTGTTCTACAATGTCTTGTCTGTAACTGACTCATGAAATGCCTCACTGCTTCTTCTACAAGGTTTGCATCATTATCAGTTAGAATCTCGCATGGCATTTCATAGTTGATATAGATCTCATTATGTAGAAACTTCATCATCATCTTCTCTGTCACCTCTGGAACTGCTTTCATGACTGGCCAGTCAGTAGTGTAGTCAATAGCAGTGATTATTCATTGATTTTCATTTGATATTTGTGATAATATGTCTATGAGGTTCATTCTCTATCATTTGAATGATTGTATTATACACTTCATCTGATGTTGTGCTTTCTCATGTTCTAACTCTTTCTTAGATTCTTTTGTGACCTAGTAATTCAGGCACTTGTGAGTGTACATCTGAATGTTCTTGACTATGCTTGACCAGTACACTCTTGGTTTGAGTACACTCATGAGTTCAGGGCTTTCTAAGTGACTGAATTCCTTGTGCATGTGAGTCACTAAGTCATGTTGAAATGAAGATTCTAGATAGAGAGCTTCTGCATATTCTAGATTGCAGTAAAGCATAACATTGTTTTTCAATTTCCTCAGCTTGAAGTTCAGAAGCATCTCTTCTACTACTTTCACAAGATGCTTGTCATCTGATATCTTGTCATTCTTCAAGTAAGAGATCATGGTGTTCACTCATTCTGATTCCTTGCATTCTCTCAGTGTGTTTAATGTGAACATCTCTTGTACCTGGTTTGCAGGATTCTCATTCATGAAATCAGGTCTATGACTGATTGTGTTCAGCATCACTGCATTCAATTCTTTTCAGTATTTGATATGAAGATTATACACTTGAAACTTCAAGATTCAACATGCTAAGTATTTGAAAGGTTTTATTATTAATTGTAGATAGACAAGACTTTTATAATTCATGATCATCATTGTTATATGTCTGTTGTTAATATATCTATCTCATAATATCAGTGCATGCTTGATTGCTAGTAATTCCTTTTCATACACTGAGTAATTAAGCTCAGTGCCTGATAGTTTTCTACTATTATACATCATCAGATGCAGCTTGCTGTTCTTGTCTATCTATAGAAGAGTGCCTCTGATAGCTCATTCAGATGCATCTGTCTTGATGTAGAAAGGTTTATCATAATCTGATTGAATAAGCACTGAGAATGTTGTTATATATTCTCTCAGTGTGAGAAAAGCCTCTTCATATGTAGTATTTCAGATAATTGAATAAAACTTCTTCTTTTGCAGATTTGCATCTATTTCTCTTAAGAGATCTGAGAGTGATGCAGATATTCATGCAAAATCCTTGATGAATCTGTGATAGTATGAGATTAACTCAAGAAACTGTTGTATATGGTGTACATTTCTTAGCTGCAGTCAATTTGCTATGACATTCAATTTCTTCAGAATGAGGTATATACAGTCATCACTTACTATATATTCTACAAACTTCAACTCTTCTGTTTCAAACACATACTTGATTGATTTAATATAGAGCTTATGCTCTGTCAGAGTTGTAAGCACTTCATTGAAATGCTTCAGATGTTCATTATATGAGTTTGAAAAGACTAGAATATTATCAAGATATATAAGATATGAGGTTTCATTCTGTTTATGAAGAATTGTATTTATCATTATTTGAAAGATGATGAATGCATTTATCAGACTGAATAACATTGTCAGAAATTCAAACTTCTTTCATTGTGTATTAAATGCAGTTCATGAGACTGATAGTTCATCTATACAGATCTGTCAGTATTCTGAGAGAAGATCAATCTTCAATAGATATCAGATGTTTCTGACTGTATTCAACTGTTGTTGAATCTGTGACAGTGAATATTCATTCTTGATTGTAAGCTTGTTAAGTGCTTGATAATTAATACACATCTGTCACTCCTCACCTGCCTTTTTCACAAATAGAACTGGAAAGCCTCACATGCTTGATAAGAATTGTATGAGACCATGTTCTAGAAGGTCTGTGATCTGATACTTCTGTTCTTCAAGATGTGTTTGTGACAGAGAGTATGCATTCTGATTGACTGATTTTATGTCCTCTGTGTCAATCTCATGTACAAATCCTTGTTCTGGTGATAATTTCAGTGAAAGATCTGTTTGAAAGATCTTCTCATGCTTCTTCAGAAGCTTCTTCATACACTTGTCCTTTCATATATTCTTTATCTTGGTTTTCTTCACTTCTGAGTTCTATATGACATACAGAATGCTTTCAGATGAGGTCTTGTGAATTGTTCTCTTTGCTTGTTAATATGTAAGTAGATTTAACTCTTCTATATCAGAGACATGAAATGTCCTTCTTATATCAGTTGATAGAATTGTATGAATCATTTTCTTTCTATCAGTCAACTGCATATGACATGTACATCATTGAATCTGTGAATTGAACCTTTGAAATCAATTGAGTCTGAGAATAAGGTCATATTTCATGTTCTGCAGCTCTCACACTTAAATATAGCAAGATCATTCTCTGAAGTGCAAGGGAACTCTTACTTTTACAGATGATATCAGATATCAGTTATCAGATAATTATATACATTGAGAATTCTTCACTCAGCAGACCTCTTTCAATCTTCAGATCATATGATCATCAATATATTGTATAGAAGCTTCTATGTCTGCTAACACTTTTGCAGCCATCTCTCAATTCTTACTCAAGTGCTCTCTATACATTAACATTTCAGGTCTCAAGGCATTGAGATGAGTGTTCACTTCATCATTCTTATCTGCACCTTATTCAGAAGCCTGCTTCTTCTTTGTATTCACAGGATTCAGAGAGTCATCTAATGCAGGCATCTCTTTCACTTTGAAGACTTTTCATAGAATATCAGCAAGTGTCTCTAAGCTCACTGATTCTGCTAGTTTTTTGACTCTCTTACTTCTCTTGACTGTGCACACTGAGTGCAATCTTTTGCATCATGATTTTAGCATCTGCAGTTGAAGCAAGCTTGATGCTTATGATATCAAGATTTTCACTCAGAGAATCTCTTTTTCAGGGAATTCAGTACTTTAGTGATGACATTCAGATCTAGATTCATCATGTTCAGATGTGTGACTTATGTCATAGAAGTCTGATTATCTGTTCTTCACTGAGATATACTCAATTGCAGTATTTTCTATCATAATTGACTTGTTTATTCCCATATGATGAGAATGTTGTATGCTTCTTTCATCATATCTGGCTGTGAGGTTAAGCATTTTCATTCTGCTCTCAACTTGAGTGTAAGATCATGAATGAAGATCTGTAAACAGAAAGATGTTGAAAGCTCTTCATTTAACACAAGATAGTGTAAGCTGAAGTGTGTGAAGTATAATGTAAGATTACTCACTTATCTACACTCAGTGAAGTGTTTATAACACTTATCTTACATGTTCACTTTCTCAAAGTTGTGCAAGATTCACTTGAAAAACTTATTTCATATTCATAGAAATGAATATCACTTCAGATCTGTAAGATTCATCTTTTCATCAGTTATTTATAATGACTTCACTTTTTCATGTAGAAATACAGCAGATCTTAAGACTTGTTAGAATTTCATTAACTGTCTATCTGTGAGTTCACATTCAATCTGATAATATGATCACATCTGACTTAGCCAGCTGATTGCAGCATCATTTTTTCAGTCATCATTGAAGCTTAATGACTTCAGCAGATCTCCTGACTTGATATATTTCATGCTCAGATTCTCATCCCGCACAGCAGTCTCTGATGATGTGTACACTTCTGAAGAGATTGTGAACAATTGTGATGAGATCTTCAGGTTTAATGTAGTTGTCTATCTATGTAAATGTTCAATCTCCTGCTGCAGGCCTAAGATCTGATTTTCTCTATTCTTATTAATGATGATGATTGTGTTGATAAAGCTCTTCATAGTAAATGCTTGATCTGCAGTGAATGTCAATTGTTGTTTGGCCTCTGTCTTGGCCTGCCACTGCATATACAAGGTCTCAATCTCATTTAGAATCCTCATACATGTACAGAGCTTCAATTCCAGTTCAGCTGTCTCAGCTGCTTTTCTTACTGCTTTAAGTAATCCCTCTGAGAGGTTCTGCATATCTTCCAATTCAGGTAGCAGAGAAGGGTGTTATTCATATCAGCTAGAAGAGGTATTCATTTTAGTGGTTTCTCATTGATTGTACAATGTCTATTGTTATCACTGTATTGTTATATCACTATATCATTATATCACTATATCACTCTGTTATCATCATATGACTCTGGTGGTGGCCACTCTCTCTTTTATCTCTTTGGGTGAAGAGCGGTCTTCTTTGAATCTGATTCACCACTCTCATCCCTTTTCTCACACCTCATCTGTTCACATACATGGCATTTGCCTGGGCATGAAGTTTTCCCTCAACAAGCAAAGCAGCATCAATTGAATGCTCTTTCACTCATCACTCTTTGTATGCTATCTTTTGAGGCATTCTAGGACCACACTGGCATGATAACTACAAATTGCTTCATAGACAGAATTATCACACCCTGGAGAAGCCTGCGCTTCTCACCAGTTTTTAGACATGCTATCAGATGTGATTCAAAGGTTGCTTAAGCCAGTGTACAATTACAGGCATACACCGGCTTCTTATATTGTAATCTCATACACTAAATTAATTAGCGTACGCTATGGCCCCTTTACACGCGTACGCTAGTAGTTCGGAAGCGGCCGCGTTATTATCCGACGGTCGTACGTTCTTCCGAACCACATCTGCATGTATCTCTGATATAGATTATATGATAAATGTATACAAAGAATATCAATAGTGCATGTATTGAATGAAGATAATATTACTATATAATACTGTAGCTGTTTCTGTACATCTCTGAAAGCTGTTAATAGTTTCTTTATCTCTTTATATTTGATAAGTTAATAATATATTCTGATGCACTTTCTCTTTCATCATCATTATTATTATTATTATTATTATTATTATTATTATTATTATTATTATTATTATCATTATTATTATCATCATTATCATCATTATTATCATATTATTACCTGTCTTTATCTCTCTCTTAACACTTATTAAAATCAATCATGTCATTTCTCTTCAAATATTCTGCAGTTCTGCAGATCATCAAGGCGCGTGAGTACTGTTACAGATTGAAGAAAGAGAAGAAGAGAGCATTCAAGTGTAAGAAGACAGATCACAAGACATGTTATAATGCCTTGAAGAGACTCTGTAAAAGAGTAGAATGATAATGATTTTAAGTAACACTTTTAATAGATTTAGACTGAACTAAGTATAGAAATAATGTGAATAGCACTGTCTGTGAGAGATTAGAAAAGAAGATAGTGAAGAGTTTTATACAGTAGTGATAAGATTAGAAGAAGTTCTGAGAATAATTTGAGATCAAGATAAAGAGAGAGAGAGAGAAGAAGAGTGTTACTATAAATAAGTAATGATAGAAGAAGATTAAGAAGATATTGAAGTAGAAGATAAAGAAGTCAAAACTAGTAAGTTTTTTATTAAGAGAAAATGATTTTTAATAACACTTCTGTTCTCTAATTGATTAGCAGAAGCTGACAGAGAAGAAGGAAATTAAGACCTTATTCAGATCTTGAATGCACTTCATAATTCAGAACATTGAGAAGACAGCTCTACTCTCTAAGCATATTAATCTGCTTACTGCTGAGATGAAACCTGATACAGCAGATCAGAAAATGCAGGATTTTGAGATACAGATTGATCTGACTAAGAGAGAGCAGTGAGAACTCTTCTCTGAGAAGGCAGAAGAGAAAGATTTTAAAATGATTATCATCTCAGATAAGAAGAAGAAGAAGAAGAATAAGAATAAGAAGTAAATTATAAAGAATAGTGAGAAGAATGTGAAAGAGAAGAAAGATAATAAGTAGAAAAAGTTTTTTTCTTTTTATATTAGTTAGTTATAAGTTCATAACTATTAGTTAATAATTGAAATTAATTTTAAGTTTTCAAAAATTATTGTACAAGTTGTAATGAATTATCAATATCAGAAATAATATATATATATATATTCAACTATTATGTCATGTCACTATAATGTATAAGTATCAATATTTTTTCAATATTGATATTCACAATATTAATATATTTTTAATGATATTATCTGATAATACAATTTAATAACACTCTCTTTCATAATATTAATATATTTCAAGAAATATGACAGAGATTAATCAAGATTGTTTATTTACTTTTATACATCAATGATATTCAATCTGAGTTAGTACTAAAATTATAACTAAGCTAAGAAAGAAGATTATTTTCTCTTATATTAATTCTTCTTATACATATCAGTGATTAGTTATTAAAAATAAATTATTATCTTTCTTAAATTATTATTATATCTTCTGAATTCACTTCTTTCACTTCTTTTACTTCTATTGAAGATTTATAAACTCTTCAAGAAATCACTGTGAATTACAAAGTCTATATTATTTATAATTCAACACAGAATGCTCTTTTTCAATCATGATAAATAATTACTTTATTCTTCATATCTGATTTCAGGTCATGAAATTTATAAAAAACTCAACATAAATACTGAGATGAACTATGAAATAATTATTAATAGATTGTATTATAGATTACTGAAGAGTCATCTCTCTGCTACAATCACTGTAACTTTATTCAGAAACATTCATTATAAACTGATTATAGCTCTGAAGAAATTTTCTCACATCTGAAGTTATCAGAATACAGATAATAAAAGAAAAATAATCAGAAAATTACTAATAAGCTGATAAGTTACTCTATTAGATAATAATTTTTAATAATACTAACTTTCTAATTTGAAGAAAATTATGTGAAAATAATCATATATTAGTACTCTGATTTCATAACTCTCATCTGATAACTTCTGTGAATAATTACTTTATATATATATATCTCTGAATCTTTCTCTTCAATTAATTGAAAACTCTGAATTCTGAATACTTCTTTAAATACTTAATTTAAATCTTCATATTTCACATCAATTCTGTCTTCAGTTCAATCTTGAGATATACTATAAAGTCAATATATAATATCTAGAATCAGAGTTGAAGAATTATCAAAAAGTGTCTCTCACAGTTAGACTGACTGTGTGACCGTGTCTGAGACCAGGACCAGATTTTTTGATAGTCTCATTACCAATTTGACTGATCCCATTACACGGTTTTAACATTAGATAGTAGTTTCATACTGTCTCAGTGAAACTTACTGTCTACTCTTGTCACATTTTTCAAATTAGACCATGATTTTCACTTCTCAATTTAAATTATTTTTATTGCTTTAAATGACTTTAAATCTCATTTGAGCATTATCAAAAAGCATTACTTTTTAAAAAATTAAAAATAGTCTAAAAAAAACCTTAAAATGTCTAAAAATAGTAACTTTATACCAAGAATGGGACTAAATGAGATCAAATAAGATCACTTTCTCATTTTTTTCAAGTCATGGTTTCATTTTAAGATCTGATATATAGTCACTTTATCTGTTTTTTTGATAGCCAGTCTCAGTGTGATTCAAAGGTTGCTTAAGCCAGCGTACAATTACAGGCGTACGCCGGCTTCTTATATATTGAATCTCATACACTAAATTAATTAGTGGCCGCTAGAGCCCTCTTTACATTCATATGCTAGTAGTTCGGAAGTGGCTGTGTTATTATCTGACAGTCATACATTCTTCCAAACTACATTCTCCCTCACCAGATTCAGTCACACTCATGTAATCATGTCATACACCCTAGCTTCATGCGGATTAGCTTGTCACTAGTGTCTCACAATCATGTAATCTATCTCTAATTCAGCTAGCATTTCATATACACTCTCACAAAGAAACTTTCACTATATTATATCACTTATTCACTAACTTTTCTCATTTTTCAATCATCATCTTCATCATCATCATTATTAAACATTATCATCTCATTCAAGATTTCTATCTCTTCTTCTGTTCAACTCTTTTCATCTGTTCATCTATTACATTGTACATGTTTCTGGCAATGACTCTCTGTTCTCATAACAAGTATTCTTGTAGTGCTCATATCAGACAGTTTATTAGCAGTAAGTGTAATATGTTGTGAAATATGATCAGAACTTGTTTATTCTCTAATGATTGTCAGAACATATTATCATGAATAACACATCTTCTTCACCTTCTCATACACCCTCTTCACCTTCTTATATGCTCTCAACTGTTTCTCTTCTCAGTGAGTTTCTGATTGTGTTTTCTAGCATAATTTTGTATAAATGCAGATACTGATATGTTGTTTTTATTCATATAGAATCTTCACATGTTGACAGCTCTGTATTCACTGATGATAGTGAACTCAATATTAAATCATTGATTGAGAATCTGAAGAATATAATAATGAAGAAATTATCTGTGTCATGTGTGACTGAGTCTTCTATGTCTTCTTCTGTCTTCTTTGTTTCTTTCTCCGCCACTCTCTCTCAATCTTCTACATCTATCTCTGTGTCTAGTTCTCCCGCTTCTGCTATCTCTATTCTCACAATTCTCACTTCTGTCACTTCTGGTTTTACTATCTCTGCTTTCATTATCAGCTCTCTCTGTTTTAAGAAGATGTTGTATAGACTTGATAAATCATGTTTCTCAGTATATACACTCTCACTCTTCTTACTGATCTCTAGAATAATTTATTGTATAAAGACAATGTACAACACAACTATCTGAAGCTCAGTCACAGACACTGATTATTATGTTTATTTTAAATATTTATAATAAAACAATCATTCATTTATATCAGAGAATCACTTTCTCTCTCAACAGTGTCAAGATTATAAGTCTTTTTCTTTTTCATCTTTTCTTTCTAATACTGATTTTTCTGTTTTTAGAGAAAATTGTTATGAATTTTACTGTGTATGAAGTTATGATATTCACAGATATCAAGAAGCTTTTCATAACTATAAAGTTTAATATTGTGAGAACATTCACTCTGATGAATTTCTTCAGAATAATAGATCTGTATCAGTCTATTCTCTAATATCTGTTATCTGACTTCATAGTGCAGATAAAAGATATCTGTGTTTTCAGAAACAGAAATATGAATGTTATACTCTTTTACATC